AGGCAGTGCACTATAGAATGAAATGAACCCTATGCAAAAATAATTAACAAAAGACCACTGAGAAGATTCATGAATAGATAACTAAAGAAAACTGGACATACTACTACTACTACTACTACTATTAATAATAATAATAATAATAATAATAATAATAATAATAATAATAAATCCTGCTTTGGTACAACAAAAAGAAAGTCAGACAGTGGCTTCAAAACAATTACAAATTGGTTTCATATACCCATAGGCAGAGTTTTCAAAAAGGCAAAAAGAGGAAATAGATCTTATATGAGCAGGTAATTTTTTCCAGTCCTGAGGATCTTTAACCCTCTTAGGCTCAAAATAAGTTTTAATAAACAACTAAGTCATTCAGGGGTACTTCTGAGTTAAAAAATGCTCATGAAACACATATGTGGAGTAACCAGGTAGGTAGGTTTTAACTGTTGCAGATCTGCAACGCCTGCCTCCAGAGGGTTAACATAAAAGGCCCGTTACCCTACTACTTTTTTAAAACGAGGAATAACAAAAGAAAGCTGATCATTGATCCTGGTATCATACGCAGAGTTGAAGGGTAAACGTTTTCAGGTAAGATGGAAAATCAAGAATATACAATTAAAAATAAATAAAAAACAGTGAAATTGTCACTAGTATTTAACCATGTTAGCTCATTTTAACCAATTTCCATTGTCCATTGTTAAAGATTAGTCCTTTCAAAGAAATTCACATACAAGTTTGTCTATAAATAGATTTTGTTCTTTACACCTTAGAACAGAAAAACAAGTTGAAGATGTATGCCTAAAATGCGATTTAAAGATGCAATATGCTCACCAAACTGCTCATCAAATATGGTGACCTCTGGTTTCAAAAACCTAATTAGTTTACGTACCCGCAGAAGCTTTAAAACGGTAGTTCACAAGCCAGTGGATAACATAATGTTGGCGACATGGTCTGTAATCTGATTTCACACAGGAAACACCAGGTACATTTTGGAAAATGGGCAGAAAATTGTGTCTGGACCCTCTCTGCATTCCCCATTTCTTACAGGCATTTCACAATGATAAATAAATAAATGATACTAATAATGAAGTACTAAATAACTACTCATGAATCTGAGAAAACTTTGATTTATCAACAGTTTTGATGGCCTTTTGTGTTTTCTAACTCACCAAAAAGCCCCGTTAAAGAGGTGGAATGCATGGTTTGCCCCGCCCCTGAGCCCTAAAATCGATGAGGCATGTAATTGGTGGTTGCTTTGTGTTATTGCTAAGATAAACAGACATTGTTAGAGGTACGGAAGATCGATGTCACGCAAAAGCAGGCGAGGCACAGGCAGAAAATTACAGGCCATCATATTCACCAACAGCATGGCAACTTACAAGCTTTGTTGCTGCCACTCGCTTGCTGTCATACACTTTGATAGCATGTGATGATTTACGTTTTCAAATCAGTTTGCAAAGGAAAATTATTTTTACAAGATTAGCTTGAATGGAGATCAGAATGTGTGGGGGCAGGGCTTCACACATCAGTGATCTGTTGATTAGGAATTACAGCGTTGTTACAGCAATTAATATTAATTACAGTATTATTAATTAGAGAGTGGAATAGGCTTCATATTCTTACTTAACTGCATGCTTGCAGACGTTTAGCCAAAAGAGCAAAAGTTGACGTAAAGCATCATACTGATCTGCTTTGGGAACAAATTATTAAACCAAGCTAATGTAGCTTTTTTAAAACTGATTTACTTTAAAGCACGAGCACCGTGTTATGCTGACGTTTTACTTTATCAAGCTGTGTGCTCTGCTGCCACAAAACAAGCTAAAGAGAGAAAGCTAAGCCCTGATGTATTGTGTTTATACGTTGCATCTCTGCAGGGAGCCAGCCCAACACATGTCTGTGCGAACATGTGGGTCTAACTCAGCTGGTGAGATGACAGAGATGAATAGCATATATGTCATCAAAGTTCTCTGATTATTTCAGATCTGAGGATGAGAAGAGCAAAAAATAAAAAATAAAAATACATCACGGGGGAAAATCATATTGTGCCAGGGTGATAATAAGTGTCTGTCAGCAGCAAAAGAGCCATTCTTTAGTTTTGAATAAACACCTGCGGGCTGTGAGCACAGCTCCACAACAGTAGTGATGCTCAAATCTCAACTGCTGGTTTTAACTCGGCTGCAGCTGCAGCTGATGCTCTTAGGGGAACGTGCTACCAATAACTGTGCAGTTGGCTTTTTCTCATGAGGTTATCAATAAAAAAATCCAACCACATGACTTAGTATTTGCTCTGAGCTATGCATGCTACTGTTATCTCAATAAGTGCATGAACCCTTACGAAGATTAACACAAATTTCACTTATTTAAAAAAATGTCTTTGTATAAGCTGGACAGAAATCTGTGGGAAACATGTAGAACACATCAAACATTAAGACATTTCTTTCAGAGTGACCCTTGAATGCAGATGAAGGGTTAAATATTGCAGCTACTGCTGATGATGACACTGATAAATAACAGCAGAATACCAAAGAAAGTTTCTGTTACACAATGGCGGGGATTTCTTGGCCTTGAGAGCCACAAATATACAAGATATAGTTGTTTCCTTGCTCTAAAACACATGATGCAATGAAAGACCTGTTCAAGATGTCTCCCAGTTCTACTGAAGCCGGTTAATCACCTGTTGTTTAAAACCAGACTTGTTAGAGCAGAGCAATAACAAAAACATGGAGGACAGTGGCTGGAGTTTGTTTTAGATGTTTCTCTGCTCCACCAGGGTATAATCAGTGGTAGATGAGCAGAAAAGGTTATTTAACTACTTGAATCAGCATGCAGGAGACTCTTACGCTACTGGGATATAATGAAGGCAATACATCACTGCTCGTGTTTTTGCAAAGCCCACCCCCATCCCATGGAGTCCCTTGGAGAATGACTCGGCATTAACAAACAGCGTCAGACATCCAAAGTCAATCACAGAGCGTGCGTGAGCATTTGAGAATGTGCCAAGATTGAGGCAGGGTTTGCGACTTTTCTCGTGAACAAAGAAGTCTATAAAGTCCCATTAGTCATCAGACACTGGTGAAATTATTTTTTCGCATTTGGCCCATCACCTGGGAGAGCGGTGAGCTGCAGAGAAGACGGCGTTCAGGAACAGTTTGGTGGTTTAACCCCTGTTGAGGGTCTGCCCTCATGAGAAAATTACTATGCAGGAATTTCTCCAAAAGACTGCCAAAAACGCCCTGGAGCATGAATAAAAAGGCATATTAAAAATCAGCGCCAGCAACAACTTCATGTCCCATGATTCCCTGCTACTGGAAGCAACGTGATGACGTCACCAAAGCGGCGTCAAACCCCGGAACACAAGTTCCGCGCATGAGCTGGAACCACACAGAGTCCAGCCCGCCGAACAGCCGAGTCTATAAAAGAGAGACAAAAACGAAACCTAGTCCTCTTTGTGTCCAGCTTCAGCTGGTGTTTGAAGAGACATTCGTTCTGCTACAGCTCCGGACACGACAAGAGGCCGAGCCACGGAAAAGCAACCGAACCGCCATCTGGTTCGTTTGAACTCCGAGGGACGCTTCGGGTTCGAGGAGTCAAGAGTTTCTTTTCCTCTCCCTTTTCTCTCTCTCCCGATTTCTCTAATAAGTTCAGAACAAGCGATCAAACCGCGCGATTTCTTTAAGGTAAATACGGTCTCTCTTCCGTACCAAAACACGCCATCGGATCATCTAATATCTTAAGTTTTATGCTGTGGCCAGGCTGACAAACTATTAGATATTTCATTCATGACTGATCTTTTGTTTTGTTTATTGATCTTTGTGAAGTGGTTTTGAATTTGTTTAAGTTACTGTGCATGGAAACTTACCACGTCACTGTTGAAAGTTAAGTTTTACTGTGATTGAACTGCTTTGGAAGTTAAAGTGAAAGTTGCCCACGCACACACACACATGCACGCACGCACACACACACAACACACACACACACACACACACACACACACACACACACACACACACACACACACACACACACATTCTGGTTTTCCGTGTTTGGGGACACACACACACACACATTCTGGTTTTCAGTGTTTGGGAGGACACACACACACACACACATTCTGGTTTTCAGTGTTTGGGAGGACACACACATCCGTTATACACGGTCGGGTCCTTGCTCCCTCAGACAAAGGGACCAGCCATTTTGTTTCAAAACTACCTCCATCTTGAGTTACATCACCTCAGATTATCATTATTTCACGTTATCATTCCATCATTTAATTACTTGTTATTCATTTGATAAAATAAGTTGGTGGGTATTAATTAGCTAACACTTTGGAAGGAGCTGAAGTGGGTATATTAGTTAATAAATGTTATTGCCAATTAAGCATTTGTCTCAAGTGAATTTGTTTGTGTGACATGAATTTATGACTGCTGCTCGTAAACGAATTTTACTAACTTTAAGACAGACTGATAAGAGGTTTTGGATTCATTTTCCCTTATTAAAAAGGGTGGTGCCCCGAGGTTATCTCCGGATATCCTAATTACGTAATAAAATCGGTAAATATTTCCATATTTATGAATTTTATTGAAGAATCCAAAAAGTAAGTAAAAGCTTACAAATTATTTGTTGACTAATATTCACAACACCCCCTAGTCAAACCCCTTAATGCTGAGGGTCCAACGGGGAGGAGTTGGGTCCCATTTTTAAAGTCTTTGGTATGACCCAACTGTGGATTTCAACTCACAATCTCCCAGTCTCAGGGCGGGTGCTCATACCACCAGGCAACTGAGCTGCTTAATATAAATGTGAATAAACAACATAAAGTGAGAATAATAATAAGTGATGCAACGGAATAAGGTGCGATTCGTTTGTCATCAACTTCTAGATTCGTCAGATAAAAAATACTCCAGATTGTTGCTTTAAAAATCCTTAATTTCTTGTGTCAGTTTGTTGTGAGCAAACTCAGAGTAACAGCTGCTGGACGGATTCAACTTGGAAAAAAGTTAACTCACCTTGGTAGTGCAGCCGGAGGAACCCTGAATTGAGACGTTGATTGCCTCGAAAGCGGATTGAGATCTGGTTGCTCCAGCTGCGTAGAACAAGGCCCCTCATCAAGACCGACTCGTTGGCTAGAATGAATGGTTCTTGGCCACCCGTGTCCTCCACCATCACCTGCTCCCCCTCCATCACACTGACGTTCAGCACCTGAAAACACACAATGCTGTTGGATTAAACACAAGCTTGACTTCTGCACCTCTGTGCATCAACTGTGACTCCACACAAGTGACTGAATCAGTGTCCTGCTGCGTCATCTCCTGCTAGACTTTATCTGATGACTTGTAAACTGAACGCTGGTCATGAGGACAACTTTAAGGCACTAGGGCTGTTTATTTATAGTCTGATGCTTCAATTCCCTCAAGATGGGATCTAACATGAGCTCCACTGACGTTGAGTCTCTTTTTAATATCAAGTTTAATCTATCAATGTTGCTGTGAGAAACTGGGTCACCTGCTGTGTTTGCTTGCTCAATTCTCTACCAGCGCAATTACAGGCAGAAATGTTTAGTCGGTGCGTTTGTCAACCTGCAGCCAGACTTTTTTTTTATTTATTTTTTTTTAATCTTTTTTGAGTAACTGTAGAATCTGTCTGGGTCATTCCACTTATGGTTTGTTGCACACATGATTCATCCGCGTCCTGTGCTCTCATTGTGCCCGTAAGCAACTCTGTCAGCAGTGCTTCATTTCTTCAACAGGTTGAGCAGCATCTGCAGCTAAATATGGTGAAGGAATCTCAGGAGTACTGCGTGTAGTTAAACTGTCTGGATAATGGAGTGCTGACGTCCTTTGGAGAAACATCTCATTTTCCCCCTGGAGTGCTATTAAACTGAGCTGCTTTTCCAACAGGAGGTCATGATTAATACTTTTTTTACGCGACAAAGGAAAACACTTTCACCTTGTAAAATGTAAAATGTACCCTAACTGAAGTTTGATGTCATTTAATCAAATGTAATCCAGTGTCAGTACATTCTGCAAGACAGCTCAAAAAGCATAGCAGTAGGACATCAACCAATCATTTATTTCTAAATACCAGTTGTGGGTGTTGTTGCTTCACATTTGAAGTTTTTATTTATTTATTTATTTTTACAATTTGAAATCTTCTTATTCCTCATTATAACAAACACAACTTTGTTATGACAATGGCCTGGGAGATCTGATATATTGCCCAACACAACCCCATAAGAAAGACCCACAGTGGAAAACTTGATGTTCCCTGCCCACTTGGCCAGGAGATCAATATTAAAATGAGTTTCGTGCAGATTGGCAGATTCACTGCGATGGCTCTATGATGCTGCCTGAAGCTGGAATTTCTATGTATAGGGGCGTACAATATCCGAATAACTCAACATAAGATGCAGATCTATCTGGCATTCATTCAGTTTGGAAAAAATCCCAAAGCATTAAACGTGTGCTCCAACATTCCATTTTGTTAATTGTCTCTCATCCAACGAGAATTTTAGTAGCAGCTTGGGCTAGCATTAGCTGTAGCTTGGGCTTGTGTCAACCATTTAAGACCTGCCATAGAACAAGTTCGCCAGAACTTATATTTACACTTTAAGATGCTGTGGTGCCATTTTTTTGGAGCATTTCAACTTTCTATACATCAATACAACCCTTGCATTCTAAATTTGAATAATATAAATGTAAAATGTTCATAGCAACTAAATAATTTACTAAGAAATGCAATTATCCATTTAAAAATAGAAAATTGATTTTTTTTTGTTTTTACACAGTTTTCATTATACAGAAATGCCACACCTTTATCCCTCAAAATTGTCAATGAAAAAAAGTTGCACACAATCCTTTCAAACAACATCACATTTATTTGAAATGCTTCCATAAATTAGTTTCTGAGATACACTCATTTATATAAACTGTAACAAAAACATAAATAAATAATAATCATCAGGAGTGTAATATAATAATGTTGAATATTTATTCAAAATTTTCAGTAGTGTTTAGTTTTCCTTTTTTCTCACTAATAACAATAATAATAATAATAATAATAATAATAATAATAACAATAACAATAATAAAGAATATTGCATGAATATATACGTGAGGAAACTGAAACTGAAACTTAAACATCATCCGGCGCTGTAATGGCATCGACCGCTTCGAGGAGGGAGGATGTACCGCTTAGCGGGTCCGTGAGTAATCCAATTGTTTGTAGTGGTGTGTGAGTGTGTCGGGAGTCTGTAGTGGGTGTGTGATGTGTGTAGGATGTGTTTGTCTAAATGTATTATTGCGATGAAGCACAAGAAAAAGCCCAAAGACTGGGACTACAAAGAACTACAATTTGCAGGAAAATGACATCAAAGCAGGTGATTGGGTGATTGATAATCATGTGACAGTTCACATTGACAAGGTGATGATGTTTATTCTAGCGTTTGAAGCCCTGTGAGCTGCAGATCAGAATGATACAACATCTGCGTCTGAATGAAAACGCTTTTCTTTTTTGCTCTATTTGGTTGTTTTTTGCAAACTCATTAATGGAAATACGTAGCGCTCTGGAACATGTTTAGTGTGTGAACTATAAGTGTAACTCCTCCAGTTAAATATGGTTCTAGGACTCTAGAAGGTGCTATATCAAATACAGGCCATTTACCATTTACATATGACACCCCAAGCTGCCTATATTCAACGAGAAGGTAAATGTGGTTTAGAGATCTAGAACCCCTTTAACTGAACTTTCTGACCCCAGGTTGAGTTTCTCCAAGAGAATGAGATAAGGCCTGACAGGAACATTGAGGATGCTTGAGTGTACATTCTTTTGTGTAATCTAGAAATGTTCAGTTTAATAAAATAGTAAATTATAATCTCAATAATTTAAACATTGATGATGTATGTTTGTTTTAAGATAAAACAATCTCCTATAAGGAAATCAATCCACCCTTGGCACTTTTATCTGTGGGTAAACACCCTACTAAAAACCTCAGTTTGACATAAACTATACAGTTCTGACTTTTATTGACCTTGAATTTGTGTCACTCAAGTTTTCAAAGAAAAACTAAATAATTTAGCTGCGATGTTGATGTGTACAGACCTCTCAGGGTATTTAAGTGCTTACAGCTTTTCTGTGTTTAGCGAGATGATCCTTGCTGTTTCTAATTTCTTTTGGCTTCTCTGCTGAATTGTAAAGCCTTCTCTCTGTAAGCAGCTGCCTGCCACAGCCATAAACAGCATTAAAGTAGTGAGAGTATGCTGAGAGCTGTAGGCTGGCCAGCAAAACAATGAGTCAAAACCCACCATAAAGGCATCAGTGTAAATAAAAGATACATCTATAATTCCTTTCACAGCTCAGTGGGTCTGATTATTCTCAACCAACTTTCAGTCAGATGGAAGAAAATGATCTGTTCCCCATCACTTTCAGCTCATCCGCATCTTTTTCAAAAGCTTCTGGTGGAATGTATGACATATTCTCAAAGCCTGTGCTGTCACTGGGAGTGGGCTCAGGTATGCCATGAGGCAGAAAAGGGCTGTCCTCTAAAGGCCGATGTCCCAGAGGAAATATGTGTGAAGACATGTTAGAGCACCAACCTGGAAAAGCTGAGGCACTGGGCAGGAGGAGCACTGGAGTGTCCAGGAAGCCTAATGGACACTGAGACTGAGCTTAGAGGTGATTCTGCTGGAATCATCAGACACTTTGATTGATTTGATGCTTTTTTTTTAATCACCAGACTTAAAACTGTACTCTGGAGGTTTTCTTTTGTACTGGGAACAAAAAGCAGTCAAACAACAGATAACCATGTGTTCTGTATGCATGAGAATGCAATGAGTTGGTATTTTAAACACGGAATAGCAGAAAATGATGAACGAATATCTTGTGAATTTAGAAAATGAGGCTCTCCATCCCTCAAGGGCAAAGCAATGACAATGCCTTAGGCCCTTTTAAAATCATCAGTTAAATAAAAGACCTTGAATGTTTTGTAAATATTATAACTTCATTATTACTACAGAGTGCTTTGAAGACCCACTGGCACGTCTTCTAGTGAGGTAGAGGAGTGTGGAGACATTGGGTTGAGTTCTCAAGTCTCTGAGGTCACTGAGGTGATCAAACATCTCCTCGGTGATTCTCCCTGGGGTGGATGAGATTTGCCTGGAGTTCCTTAAAGCTCTGGATGTAGTGGGGTTGTGTTGGCTGATGCAGCTCTTACAAGGACAGTTTCCCTGGAATGGCAGATCGGAGTGGTGGACATCCTATTTAAAAAGGGGGACTGCAGTGTGTGTTCTAATTACTGGGGATCACACTCCTAAGCCTCTCTGGTAAGTTCTACTCATGAGTTAGAGACATAATGTGGTTTGGTGTCCTCGCCGAGACTACTGGACTGGTGTTCCGACTATCCGTGCTACCCGCTGATATGTGCTTCTTTGGTTAAATGCGCAGACCGATTACTACGTCAGAGGCTGTTTACCCGAAGAGACGCACTACCTCTGGAAGTTGTTATATTACCACTTGTTGTATGTTTACCTGACAGCTTGGAAATGGCTTGTAAAATATTATTATACTGTAAACAAGAAATTTCTCCCAATGTGCACTGTCATTCACAGAATGATGAAAAACACGGTCTTTTTCATAAATAAATCACAACAAACACTGTATATTTTTGCTAATAATTATACTACAGTTCTGTATTTTTGAGTAATATCACCTGTTTAAAATAAACCATGCTTAATAAGTGTGTTACTACACTAAACAAGAGTGAAACTGTCGTAACACATTGCAGTAGGAACATTCGAATAGGAAGCACAGATAGTCAGAACACCACCTCTATACCCTTTGCACAGTCTTGGAGGGTGCAGGCCAACCAATCTACATGTCTTTTGGGACTTGCAGAAGGTGTCTGACCATGTCCCTTGGGGAGTCCTGTTGGAGTACTCCAGACTTTGAGGTACAAGGCTCTTTCATCCTGGCTGTTAGGTGCCTGTATTGGTTGCCAAAGCAGTAAGATAGGCTTTTTTTCAGTAACAGCTGAACTCCATCAAGGTTGTTTTTTGTTACTGATTATTTTGATAACTTTTATGAACAAGATTTCTAGGCATATAGGGTTTGGGAGTATCTGTTTTAGTGGCCTATAGGGATCAGGTATCTAATGTTTACTGATGATGTGGTTCTTCATCAGATCACGATCTCCATCATTCACTGGA